GTATATATATATATATCAATAACAGAAATCTTTATTGAATTCAATTAAGCATAAGTCACAGAAAAGTGGAGGGAGGTAAAGTATCTTAACTCCCCCAAAACAAGGAAAAGAAAAGGTACAGAGTTAGAAATAAACCCAAAACAAAGAATCCCTATTCACCCCTTGCTTAGCTAGCCCATCAGCGAAGGAATTTGCAGTTCTTTCCTTTAACCACTTTACCATTACCTCTGAATCACCTTCAATAATCAGTCTCCTAATATTCAATTCTCTTGCCCTTTGAATCCCTTCCAAGGCTGCTAAAATCTCAGCCCTAAGAGAGTCACCCTCACCAATCGGGCCAAAGAAAAGGGCTAAGTCATTCCCTTCCTCATTTCTGAAAATTCCCCCAATACCTGACAGCCCTGGATTCCCCATGCTACTGCCATCAAAATTCAGCTTTATATAACCAGCAGGAGGGGAAATCCAAGAAGGATTTATGACCCTTTTAACCTGGGCAGAACTTGCAATTTCTTTCCATCTTCTCAACAAATCATCCACAGTAAAGTCTGAAAACAGGTCCAGGGATTTCAACCAATGTGCTGCCCTTATGTGGATCAACTCTGTTAAGTTCTCAGCATTCCTCTCCTTATCTAAAAATAATCTGGAGTTTTTTTTTGATAAATTAAAATGTGAATTCATTAATCAAAGAGAACAATCTGTTACATGCATCCCTTGGAGAAGCAGAAGGTGCAGCCTCTCCTAGATATTACAGTGAAACAAGAAAAAACAATAATAATGTAGATACGTGGTTTGCAATTAGTCTGTTGCTCATTTTTTTTCCTTCTGTGATAAACTTATAGTACATTGCAGGTTTGTGATGAACACATGATTCATCACACGATTGCGATAAACCTATGCTCAACGCAAGCCCAAAACAGATTAGGGTTGAAACTGCGATGAATTCTTATACACATTCGGTTCTGTGATGAACCTTGAGTGCGTGCGACCCTGCGATGAATCTCATACACAATCGGACTGGCGATGAACTTCGAACGAACGCGGCCTTGCGATAAATCCTGGACCGATATGGAACCCCGATTTGATTAAGAATCGGGCTTAAATATTGACTGCATGTGTAATTTTGAGCGATGTGCATAACAAAGCGCCACGTAGGTTTAATAAGAGATTGTCTGCCAAACAGTGATATCACTAGCGCCATGTTGGTTAAGTAAGGTGCAAGAGGCGGTAATACACGTGGATTATGAGAATCCCCGAGTAAAAGGAAAGTCAACCTTTGAAGGGATCTCATAAGACACATGGTGAAACCCTATCTATGCTCCTTAATGACCGACAACGAATCTAATATTCCCTTTCCTAGTAGAAAACAAACTCTTTTGGCTCTTTCCTTTCAGCACCTCGGGATCCTTCTCCAAAAATAGGGATTCCCCCTCATGACGAAGGACATTCGTTCTACCACTGATTACCCCTATCATTGATTCCCTGCTCGAGCGATCTTACTATTCTCTCTACCCTAACCTTTTGGTTGATTCCCTGCTCCTGGTCCTCCTCTGTCCTTTCAAGGAGGCCATTCCCCTAGCCTAACCACTACCTTACTTACAAATAAATTACAAACTTGCCCAAAAAAGCTCTTCCCTAGAAACCCCTTGTTTGGCAAGATTGTCAACAAAAGTATTTGCTGACCTACCCACCCATTGGACTCTAATGATCATGTGTCTTGTTAACCATTTAATTTTTTTTCATAAGATCCCTATAGCTCCAAGTAGCTGAATTGGGGTTCTGCAACCAGCCCACAATCACCTTAGAGTCCCCTTCAATCAGCAACTTCTCTATCCCAAGTTGGTTGGCGATCTGGCCCTTGTAGAATCACCTACTCCCACCGGGCCTGAAAACAGTGATAGGATCTTGCTATCGTCAGTTCTCAAGACTCCTCCAATCCCTGACAATCCCGGATTGCCTTGACTGCTCCCATCAAAGTTCAATTTGATAAAACCTTCTGAGGGAGGTATCCTAACTGTTGCAGATTTATTTTTCTGAGAGGACAAATTAGCCATTGCAGCCCAGCTTCTCCAAAAATCCACAAAGGAAAATGGAGAAAAGGATTCTAAGGTTCTCAACCACTGTATAGCTTTATTAACGATACACTCCTTTACTGCTGGAATGGTTCTCTCCTTGTCAAGAAAGATTATAGAATTCCTTTCTTCCCAAATAGTCCACAATGTGGCTGCTCTAATGCATCTCCACATGCATTTCCCTTTTCTTTGTTGGCCAAATGGAGGTAGGTGAGCTAAACAACAGATTGACTTCTGATGGAAGAACCCACCTGCAACCAAACAGATCAGAAATCCAATCCCACAGAGCTGCAGAGTAGCAATCCTCACTATGGGCTTTGCACAAAATACACCAGTTTGGGGAAAGACACAAAAAAGGCCTTCTCTTTTGCAAGTTTTCCAAGGTATTAATCTAACCATGGTACACCTCCCAACAAAAGACAGCTATCTTAGGGGGAATAGGTTTGGTCCAAACTTCTCGTACAGGGAAAGATCTAGGCACATCACTAGAACAAAGGGATTTGAAGAAAGAAGCACACGAAAAAGATCCTTGAGGAGCAGGGGCCCACACCCTCTTATCAGGGGAAAAAGGGTCTAAACAAACATTGCCAAGAGTAGAAAGCAACTCGATGACACAAGGAAGTTCAACCTCCCGTAAACCTCTACGAAAACCAAAGTCCCAATTCAAAGAAATAGGGGGGACTGGAGAGGAGAGGAAAGGGGAAATAAGCTCTTTTTTTTATAAAGGGAAAGAGAGTAAAGAGAGGGGAAAAGGTCTTTGAGAGACAAGTTACCCATCCAATTATCTTCCCAAAACAGAACTAGATTGCCTACACAAGCATCATACTTTACACATTGAAGAAATTTAGGAAGAATGCCATGTATTGCCTTCCAAGGAGTTGATAGAGTACCCAACGAGATACTTAGGCATCCTAACCTGAATCGGAACAGCCATGAATGCTACCCACCACCCTATGCCACGAGCTTTCTCTCTCCATTGACCATCTCCACAACCACTTTCCCAACAAGGCCTCATTTTTAAGAATCAAATTCCCTAAACCTAGCCCCCTTCTCTCTTTACTTTGACTCACTATCTCCCAACTAATTAGATGGTCCTTTCTTTCAACCCCTGATTGCCACAGGAAATCCCTCATTAACTTTTCCAATTTTCTAGCCTCCCTAGAGGGGATCCTAAAAACGGAGAGGAAGTACATCGGGAAATTGGTAAGCGTGGCCTTGATCAAAGTTACCCTTCCCCCCAAGGAAATATAGTTCTTTTTCCAAGTTACTAATGTTTTTTCAAATCTCTCCACAACTGGAATCCAGAAGCTACTTTCCTTAGGATTCCCACCCAAAGTAAAACCCAAATAAGTCAATGGCTAGGATGCCACGAAACATCCCAAGTAAACAACAATGGACTCGACCTCACTATCCTCCCATGGAACATTCCAAATAATTTGGAGTTTCTTTCTTCCCACAAAGACCAACACATAGCTGCCCTTATACTCCTCCACATTATCCTTCCTCTTTTTACTGGCCAACTAAAGAAAGATGGAGAGAGCAAACTCTGTACATTCAAAGGAGGGTTCCAACTACACCCAAAAAGGGATAAAGCCCAATCCTAAACAGCTTTTGCATAATGGCAAGACACTAATAAGTGGTACCCATTCTCCCCATCTGCTTTGCAAAGAATACACCTGTGCAGGGATAAACAAGTCTTGGGTCTTTTTTTTCTGGAGAAGATCACAAGTGTTGATTCTTTCTAGGAAGGATTCCCAACCCGAGGAGGGATAGGTTTGCACCATATCTCTTTAACAGGGAACGACATGCCAAGGGAGGTAGGTTGCTGAGTTAGGATTTTAAAGAAAGAAGTACAAGAGTAAGAGCCCGAAGGGGAGGGGGTCCAAATTCTACAATCTTACTTTTGGGGGTCGAGAAAACCATTTTCAAGCAATGCCAAAAGGGAAATAGTATTTTCTAACTCTGTATCCCTAACCGCCCTTCTCAAGTTCAAATTCCACCCATAACCAGAGGTTGTATCTGAGGGGACTAAAAAGGATGAAATGGGCATATTCTTTAAATCAGAGAGAGCATGCAGAGAGGGGAACTGGGTCATCAAAGGAGAGTCCCGTACCCAAGTTTGTTCCTAGAATTTGATAAGGTTGCCTGAGTTCAAGTCATACCTGGTCCACTGGGAGAAAATTGGAAGAAGGTTATGGATGGCTTTCCAAGGAGATGTGCATGTAGTCCTTGCCATGATTCCGATATCCCACCCATTGTCCTCCATCCCATGAATGCTAGCCACTATCTTTGCCCACAATTTATCCCTTTCTAAAGGAAATCTCTATAAGCACTTCCCCAATAATGCCAAATTCCTTTTCCTGATATTCCCAATCCCCAATCCTTCTTGTTTCTTGCTTCTTGTTACCACCTCCCATTCGACCCTATGGACCCTCCTTTCCTCTCCTGTCTCCCACAGAAAACCCCTCATCAACTGTTCCAACCTATTAGCTACCTGAGAGGGAATCTTAAACACTGAGATAAATGGTGGATATATATTGTATTACTATAAATCAGGAAGAAGGGACCCCATGGTTACAAAGAATAGAAAGTCACCTTGCATCTGTTCTCCTCCTCCGTTTGATAAATGGTGGATATATATTGTATTCATAAATTATTAGAAAGAAGGGACCCCATGGTTATGAAAACATAACATGGATAAATGGTAGAACCATGTATGAGATATACATGAATTCCTGCATACACAAAAGCCCCATTGAAAATTAACTTGCATCTGTTCTTGAATTTACATTCTTTTGCCATTAATTAGAGTGCACATCTTAGGGAAAGTTTCTTCTGAATCATCTAAATGAACAATATTTGCAGTATTGTAGCATTGACCATGTTGTGTTGATATTCATGAATATTTTTTGATACATCTTTCGGTTTTAGGGAATGGGAATTCCATCCTATGATAATCAGTTGCTTCACTTAGCTGAGGATCTTGCACACAGACTGTTACCTGCATTTGATACTCCTACAGGTAACTTTTGGATTATTCTTTTGTCTTTTGTCTATATGCATAGAATGATATCACTGTTTCAACCTCTAGTTTCCTCTAGACTGAGTTTTTCTGCATATCATGTGTCAAATTCTTTGGAGGATTATTTAACTTGGATACTGATGTCTTATTTTTCTTATGATCCTTATGGTATGCATTACAATCAAATTCTATACAGGCTAAACATTGGACTGGAGAACATGAATGCAGGAATCATAGATGGGTTTAGAGTCTAGACTATCTATAACTTGCCATAATCATCTGGCCTAGTAGATTAGCTGGGTCTGTAATCATCATGTGCAGAGGATTATAATCATGTGATCTTACTGTATTTTGTTGGATGGTGGAGAAAACTTTTAAAGTAAACTGGCAGAAGAGCATGTGCTTCGCATGTATATATAATGTTAAAAATATATGGGTATTATATACACTCTAGGTTTTGACTAGTTTGTCATGTAAAAAAAAAAAACAAAATTATTTTCCCCATCAAAAGAAAATGCAGAAAAGATTCTCATCTTTAGAAGTAGATTGAATATATTTTTTGATCAGCAACACTGAAAAATATTCATTCATTAAGATTTTAAAATAAAAGCATAACAACAAGTTGTGAGAAATCAACAAACTCATTACAATTTACAAACCAAACCACCCAACATTGTATTACAATTGTGCCCAGTACATATGTTGTCTTTGAACCACTTGCTTAGCTATTTTCCAAGCTATTAGCAGATCTTTTAACCCATCTTATTTGAATGTTCATGTCTTTTGATGGCAGCCATCTGAAGTGCCTGAATTCATTCCTCAGCTGCCAAATCGCCCCACCTTTTTTCATCCACCCCACTACTAGTTTCAAATCACCTTCAATAATCAACCTACCAACTCCCAACTCTGGCTATCTCAACCCCAAAAAGTAAAAAATTCTGCCCTTACCTGATGTGGACAGAAAAGAATATATATGCAGCACTTTAAGTATATAGCAAAAAGCACAATAATACCAATCTGGAAACAACAAAAACAAGTTGGACTCTTAGGGATTTCAGACTAGAACCTGAAGTAGAACTCCTCTTGGAACAATTCTGCTACAGTAATAATGGCGTCAAGCTCTCGCGTGGAGACACAGCGATAGAAGGATTGGAAGGTGCTAAATGGGTAGATTCCTCAAAACCCAAGCTCCCAATACTTGAAAACCCTAATTGGGGCTGAACTATAACTCAAATAAGAGAGAAAAAACAAAAAAAAGGACCACCATTGAAGTACCCCCTTCCCTTTCATAAGACTCAATGGCTTGCTGGAGAAGTTAACTAATATATTTAAACATAAGCCCCTAAAATGTTCTCCTTTCACAAACGACACCTTAAGAACAAAAACCAACTTCAGGCAACCTCCCGAAAGATAATTTTTATTACAAAAAGATCTAAGAGACCAAAATCCAACATATGAGCACCTTGTCCTTACCAAAATCTGAATTATAAAATAATGAAAATACCTCTGGGCCTAAAGTGACAACAAAGCTACCCCAGAACAACTATTTGGGATCCTACTACAAAAACAAACTTAAAACATATTGACATTATTTTTTTTTCTCTTTTTTTAATTCTCTCTCTCTCTTTGGGCTCCTGAACCTCATAAAGGTACTAGGGGCATTAGATGACCCAAATGGGCATAACCAGCCATTCATAAAGACCTTCCTTAGTCTTGAATGCTGTCTTCCACTCATCCCCCTCTTGGATACGAATTTGGTAGTACCCACTTTTCAAATCTATCTTTGAAAAGATTTGTGAGCTAGCCAATGTGTCTAACATATCATCAAAGTGAGGTATGGGAAACTTGTATTTAATTGTTTTCTTGTTGGTAGCACAGCTATCAACACACATATGCTAACTACCATCTTTCTTCGGTGCGAGCAAAGCTGGTACAACACATGGACTTAAGCTTTCACAGATCAACCCTTTCTTCAACAACTTTGTTACTTGTCTTTGGAGCTCCTTGTGCTCTTTAGGATTCATTCTATAGTGGGGTAAGTTAGGTAATGTTGCTCTTGACATTAAATCTATGTGATGCTGCACTTCCCTTAATGGGGGAAGGCCATCAGGTAATTCCTCACGCATCACATCAGCATACTCATGAAGTAGCTTTTTCATATCCTTCGGAACAGGTGTTTCCTTCTAATTTCTCTTGTAACCAGCACATAAACAATATCCAAATTCCCATTTCCTTAAGCTAATTAATTTGAGGTGAAGAGGGTAGTGGTTGGCTTAGTTTCTTTCTTTGGAAATGAATTAAGTTGCATTGGTTTAGCAGTTATCTTCTTATTGTCTTAAACAAAGCTGTATGTGTTCTTGTCCCCATAATGAATGTTTTTACGGTCATATTGCTATGGACATCGAAAAAGAATATGGCATGCGCCCATTAGGACAACATCACACCGTATTGATTTGTCGAATGTGTTACCAATAGAGAAATTAAACCTCATTTCCTTGAACCACAAAATGCGATATGGTAGGGAGTGTTCAATAGTCTTGAGTTGCAACTTATCCACTATCTTTTGAGAAACAAGATTGTCACTACTCCCACAGTCAATAATCAGATCACATAACTTCCCACCAACTGCACAATGTGTTTTGAAGATATTTTTTCTCAACTAGTCCTTGGGTAGTGGTTCTTGAGATGCAACTATGGAGTGCCGTATCACTAGTGTTTCACCCTTAACATCCCCTTCATTCATTTCCTTACAATCAAAATAATTTCAATGATGTCCAACCAATCTAGAAACTCTTCAAGTTTCAACTCACCATCAAACATGCTATTCGGTCTTCCCATCACTGGTTGTTGTTTCTTTCACGTTGGTCACCTTTAGGTTGCTCAATGTCTACTTCATTGACAATGTTAGTGGGTTGTTCATCAACTCTAGGAGCTTGTCTTCTTCCCAACCCCAAATCACTTTCTACGTCACCATCCTTGGCAATGTTTTTTTTTTTTTTTTAATCAAATCCCTAGCAGTATGTTGAGCTACAAGTTAAGCAAGGTGTTCAATTTGTTCTTGCAACCCTCTTATAGCCTCTTGGAAAACCTCTATAATGACATGTTGTGGCCTTCTACAACCTCAACCACGTATACCCCTTGCAACAATAATAATATAAGCAAGATACAACAAGAAGATGAACTTTGAAGCAAGCCTAAGGAAAGAACTTGCTTTGATACCACTTGATGTGGATAGAGAAGCAAGGTATATGCAACGCTTCAAGTGTACAACAATACCAAGCTAAAAACAACAAAAATAAGTTGGATTCTTAGGACTTCAGATCTGAATCTAAAGTAGAACTCCTCTTGGAATAGTCTTGTACTCTTATTGGAGTAATAATAGCGTCAAGCTAGTCTCTTGCGCGGACATGCAATAGTGGAAATTTGGAAAGCACCAATTGGGCCAACTCCTCAAATCCCAAGCTCCTAATACTTGAAAACCCTAGCTAGGGCTGAGCTATGGTTCAAATAAAAGAGAAAGAACCAAAAGGATCCCCATAGAAACAACCTCTTATTTGTTATAAGATTCAATGGCTTGCTGGAGAAGCCAACTAATATATTTACACATAAGCCCCTAGAATGTTTCCCTTCACAAACAGCTCCTTAAGAACAAAACTAACTTCAAACAACCCCCAAAAGATAACAGTTGAAAACAGCCCTCTTGTAGTCTAAAACAACTTGAGATTAGATACAAAACCAGAAAAAGAACAAGAGAAGCTTAAGAAGTTGAGAGAGGAAGAGAGCTGGCGGCAATAAGAGAGTTAGAGAAGAGAGGTTCGAACTTAACCTCCCTCTAACACTCTAAATCATTTTATTAACTTAATCTTTGAAATATTACAGAGGAGCCCTTGGATGGGCAAGAAATTACAAAACAGAGTATATAAGAGTATGGGCCCAGAATAAGGCCCATTACAGAGAAAAAACATAAACATAACATAGAATGACAGCCTATGGGCCATTCGGCCCATCTCCTCTACACTCCCCCTCAAGCTGAGCATAGATGTTAATCATGCCCAACTTGCTAGTGTCATGCTGAAGCCTTGCCTTGGGAATGCCCTTGGTGAGAAAATATGCCAAATTGTCCTTCAGAAGTGATGAATGGAAGACACACTTCACCCGAAGAGACTCTTTCTCGAATAAAGTGTCTATCAACCTCAATATGCTTAGTTCTATCATGTTGTATTGGGTTGTGGGCAATGTCGATGGCTGCCTGATTATCATAGTACAACATCATTGGCTTGTCATGATCAATCCCAAGTTCTTCCATCAATGACCTTAGCCACAACAGTTCAGAGACTCCATAAGCCATGGCCCTGTATTCTGCTTCTGCTGAGGATCGGGCCACAACTAATTGTTTCTTGCTCCTCCAAGAGACAACATTACCAGCCACCAGACTACAATACCCTGAAGTAGATCTTCTGTCATCAATATTGCCATCCCAGTCAGCATCAGTATAAGCTTCAAGCTTCAGATGACCATGCTTAGTAAATAGAATTCCCTTTCCTGGAGAGCCTTTCAGATAACACAAAATTCGTTCTGYAGCTGCCATATGAGTATCTCTKGGAGCATGCATGAACTGGCTAATACAACTGACAACATATGCAATATCTGGCCGAGTCATGCACAAGTACAGGAGTTTCCCAAGAAGTCTCTGAAAGACCCCTTTGTCTTCCAACAATGTTCCATACGAAGCTGAATGTTTGTGACTCATATCAATGGGAGTTGCAGTTGGTCTAGCACCCATCTTTCCAGTTTTAGACAACAAATCAAGGACATATTTCCTTTGGGAGATAAGAATCTTATCCTTAGATCTAGAGACTTCTATGCCAAGGAAGTATCTCAACTCTCCCAGATCCTTAATCTCAAATTCTGTGCGAAGGAAAGACTTAAGGGCCCGAATGCCTGAGGCATCATCACCAGTTACTATAATGTCATCAACATACACAATACACAATGAGATA